CGCCGCCGCCGCCGCCCGCGGAGGACGCGGACGCGATCTGGGAGCGGCGGTTCTGGGACCTCGCGGAGTACAAGATGCGCCGGGGCCACTGCTACGTGCCCGCGGCCTGGGCGTCGCCCCGGGACCCGCCGAGCCTCGGCGACTGGGCCGTGGAGCAGCGGCTGCTGCGGGAGACGGGGCGGCTCCTCGAGCGGCGCGCCGCGCGCCTCGAGACCGTCGGCTTCAACGTCGACGACCGCGACTGGCGGAAGCGCATCTTGCCGCCCGACGACGAGGCCGAGGCGCCCGAGGACGCGCCGAAGAAGCCGCGCAAGGCGAAGAGCGCGAAGAAGAAGGAGGAGAAGCCGCGGCGCTCCAAGGGCGAGAAGTCGCCGAAGCGGCGCGCGTCGAAGAAGGACCGGAAGAAGGCCGGCGACGCGCCGCCGGCCGCGCCGCCGCCGCCGCCGCCGGCCGCGCCGCCGGCCGCGGCGGCCCGGAGCGTGTCGTCGCCGAGCCTCTTCTGCGCGCCCGAGGAGCTCCCGCCGCCCGGCGACGACGGCGCGTGCTCGTCCTGCGCGCGCGGCGCCGCGCCGCAGGCCTCCTGGTGGTCGTCGGAGCGGTCCCGGGACGCGCCGCGCCGCGAGCAGCCGCGCACGGAGGCGTCGACCTTCGAGGTGTCGCTCTTCGGCTACGTCCTCATGAAGCTCGACCGCGTCGCGAGCTACGGCGACGAGCCGGCGGGGTCGTAACATTCCCCCACGGGCTCGGAGATGTGCATCGAGTAGTAGATATTGTCGTGCCTGAAAAACCGCGCGCGCAACGTCCAGGGACTGCTGCCCCGGATAGAGCCGTCGTTCTCGGGTCGGCCGCCATGTCCGCGACGGGGCCGAAGCCGCCGCCGCCGCCGCGGAGCAAGAAGTCGCGCAAGCCCGCGCCGCGGCCGCCGAGCGACCGGAGCAACCAGCTCGACCCGCTCGGCGACCCCTACGGCGCCGCGCCGAGCATGGCGTCGAACCCCTACGGCTTCGACAGCTACGCGCCGCCCAAGGCGAAGCCGCCCGGCGGCGCCTACGCGCCGCCGCAAAAGCCCAGCGGCGACCCCTACGGCGGCGCCGGCGGCGCCTACGGCGGCGACAGCCACCGGTCGGGCGCGCCGTCGACGTACGACGCGCCGAGCTACGGCCTGCCGTCGCCGACGCGGAGCGACCTCGGGCCCGAGGAGCCCGTCGCGCCGCCGCCGGAGCCGAAGAAGAGCCTGCTCGAGATGGAGCCGGAGACGGTCATCGGCGAGACGCTGAGCATCGAGGGCAAGCTCCGCTTCGAGCGGCTGCTCCGGCTCGACGGCAAGTTCGAGGGCGAGCTCATCTCCGAGGGCGACCTCATCGTCGGGCCCCAGGGCGAGCTCGTCGGCGACGTCAAGACCATGAGCGACATCGTCGTCTTCGGCAAGGTCATCGGCAACATCGCCGTGGACCGCGTCGAGCTCTGCGGCTCCGCGTCGATCTACGGCGACATCACGTGCAAGGTGCTGCTCATGGACCCGACGGTGGTCCTCGTCGGCAACCTGAACATCAACCCCTTCGCGCCGAACAAGATGGCGCCCGACGGGTCCGAGGTCGGCGGGCCCAAGCCGGAGAAGGCGCCCGAGGAGCCCGCGGCCGCGGCCGACGTCGAGGGCGCCATGTTCGACGACGCGCCCGCGGCGGAGCCGGAGGAGGACGCGCCCGCCGCCGACGCCGCCGAGCCGCCGGCGGCGGCGCCGGCCGTCGACCCCTACCTCGAGCCGTCGCCCGCGAAGCCCGCGGAGCCGCCGGCGGAGCCGCCGGCGGAGCCGCCGGCGGAGCCCGCGCCCGAGGAGCCGCCGGCGCCCGAGCCCGCGGGCGACGAGCCGGCCAAGGCCGACGAGCCGCCGGCGGCGGAGGAGCCGCCGTCGGCGGCCGACGACGCCAAGGAGGACCCGGCCGTCGAGAAGCCCGCGGACGCGCCCGCTGAGCCGCCGCCGGCCGACGACGCCGGCGGC